ACGGAAGATTGTCTTCGGACAAAACGCTGACTCTATGGCTTAGAAACGGGGATGAGCACCGCCCCCTAGAGTCGAACACGACTGGACAAAAATTGTCAAGGGGAACCTTTACCTTTACCTTTACCTGTTATGCAGAGCTTAGTGTGGGGCTAGAAGCCTGGATTGGAAATCCCTATTGGCCATAAAGTTTACTGAGTGATTTTGGGTGAGCCACTGTCTCACAGCCTAACTTCTCTCAAAGGATTGTTGTAAGGATAAAAAGATGGAGAATATCATGTATAGTAGATAGCTCTCCTCAGAAAGGGAGGGATATGCAGGTAACAAATCAACACACAAATACAGTTATATTCTTGCTCACAATTGCAACTCTCAGTTGGATTCTGCCATTTGAACCTTTGTACTTTTAGTCATGGCTAGAGATGGGGATATTCGTATTTGTAAACGAAAACGAATATCCCCATCCAAGCTAGACCTAATGAGGGTCTGGCCCTCAAGACTGGACCATCCAATCATGCATCCTGGCACCACAAAGGTCCCGCTATTACCGCCAATGGCACCAGGAGCTCAGCTGTCTCCCTGTTCAGCCAGTCGTTCAGCAATCCTGTGGGGAGACTCCTCCTCTCCCCCCCCCCCGTTGCCGGAGATTGAATTCTAGCTTTTGGTAGAAACTGTTTCTGGTACCCAAGAGAATAGTATATCATGTTTTGTTTTTCCCTTTCTTTTTCCCTTTCTCTATCTGGCTGGATAACCCAGTGGTTTAAGTATCTAGGTATCTGACTGAGGAGCCAGAGGTTCGGAGTTCAATTCCCCACTGTGCTTCCTATGAGTAGAGCCAGTAGAAGGGAATGGTAAACAACTTCTGAATACTTTCTACCAGGAAAACCTTGAAAAAGTGTTGCCATAAGTCAGAATTGACTTGATGGTACAATGATAATGATTCCTTCCTTCCTTCCAAGAACTTCATGCTTCTGTTATATGTTTCATCCTACAAAATCACATGCTTCTTCTTTGTAATATAATGTATAATCCTTTATTTTGTAAAAAAAGTCTCATAATCATCTGTGGTGCAATCCAGCAATAGATAAGTAATTTTAAAAAAACATTTGTTCATTTTATTGGAGAGACTCCAAGATGTCCCACTGAATTCTGTGCGTTTCAGAAGTGCTTAGAGTATTGCATTAGCAGAACAACATACTTCACATTTCTGACTACCCCTGGCAGCACATAGCAGCAGCAAAGGGGAAAACGAGCTCTTTATGGTGACTGGCTTGGAATTGTAAATATTTTTATTTCTCCCTTAGGAAATGGCTCATGGAAGAGAGGTGACAAATACGACCTTGAAGCAAAGCAAGCATACTCTTCCCTCCAGACAGTCACACTACTGAGGACAGTGAAACCAGAATTTGAGAAGTTTGCCATGGAGGTAAAAAGTTCTGTTCAGAAACAAGGAATCCATCATGATGATTACGTAAGTACCTGATTATTGGGCTGTAGCTTTTAGCATCTTCAAAACACCTCTTTAATTAAATCCAAGTTAACAATATGGCCTTTTCTGAAATGGGCCTAAATGGCTAGCAGTTGTTTCTGCTAGACAAGAAAGACAGACTTGCAAGAGAAAAATGTCTCTCTCTGTAGGTATTACCATTATTTGGAACAGAGTGCTTTTTATCTTTATCATCTTGCTCATTGAAGGGCTTCTAAGGTATTAAGCGGCAAATTCGCAAACTCCGTTGCCCTTAATGTAGAGTGGAGGAGCTGGTGTCCTTCTGGAATGTTGATTAATCACTGTGAACTTCATTGCTCACAATTAGGCATGCTGGCAAAAAGTGATGGGAGCTACATATTCACTTGCTTGTTAAGGACTGATATATACTTGCAAACCTATTTTACCTTCAAACAGAATATACACGTCTGGGAGACAAATGGTTTTGAGAAAATCAAATGTGCTGGGGCAGAAATGGGCAGAAGTTAGATCTGGAGCACCCAGCAGCAGGATGGATAAAAATCAATGATTTTTTAAAAATCAAATTGATTTAAATCATGAGTTAAATTTAAAAAAATCAATTTTATTTAAATAAGGTAATCTAAAATCTGATTTTTAAAATTTAAATCATCTATGCTTCAGTATAGGCATAGACAACCTATACATCAAACATTATAGTGGGAAATTATGTGCTCAGAAGTGCTAGATATTCCCAGTATTGGGGAAGCTTTTCCTGTTGCAACCATGGCTCTTTTCTGAGGGGTAGTTCATGAATCTTAGTAGGGAGAATGCCTCATGCAAAAATTTCAGGCTGAGCCCCTTCCTTGCCATATGCATAGACCATGAGCAGTCTATGTCTGTTCTGCTGGAACAGATCTGCCTGCTGCTGTTGATCTAGTATACCTGGCTCAGAAATTAGCACTAAGCAAAACATACATGAGCCAAGTGTGAGAAACAGGAATCTTTAAATTAATATATATGATTAATTAACCCGGGTAAAGTATCCAAGCCAGTGATGTGGGTAAGGCCTGAGCTTTTTAGGAGTTTCATATAATAAAATACTGTACCAGTTAAGTGGTTAACTGCTGAAGGCTTTTTAGACGGAGAGAAAGGGGATAATTTTTGCTATGGCTGATCAGTGTACCTTTACTTTCCCAGGGAGAGGCGAAGGGGGGGATTTTCAACATGACTTAGAAAAGTAAGAAAAGACAGGGAAAAAGAGGTAAAGACAAGGAAGGAGAATTATTTGTGATTGTTTTTTAAAATTGGGGAGGATGGGGCAATGACACAGCAATACAGTTCACACACTTTGGGGAAGGGAAGGAGGAGAAAAGGGGACATGAAGAACCATGAACTGTTAGGAATAATAACGTAGATGTGTGGAAGTGCTTCAGTTGGAAGATATAATGTGTGTGTCCTCACAGGTCATTTCCTGTGAACACAGAATAAGGGATCATTTGATAGAAAGAGGCACTCAAGATGAATTACAGCCCTTGAAATGCTCTGTCATGGTTTCATATAGATCATCTAACAGAGAAGGTGTCAGAGATATTTTTATAGACTGCAACTACACCCCAGAAGAGTTTTTCCCTCTTCAGAGGCATGGAACTATAATCTCCGTTCTACATTCGTTGTCCCCATGAGAGCATATTCTATGGAACTGCCTTCAGAATAAAAGTGTTGCCTCAGCCATTGCACAGCCCTCATTCAAATTCCACTAAATTCTTACACTTTCAGATAGTGGAAGCAGTCATTTGGAATTAAATCTGTTTTTATGCAGTTTCCCACAAACATTTAATGGGACACAGCATGTACAGCAATTTCTAGGACCTCCCAAAATGCAAATCATTTTTACTAGCAATCCTTGACACCTCTTTGGTAGAATAGGAAGATGGAGGTTTGTACAGTAGTACCTTGACACCTCTTTGGTAGAATAGGAAGATACAGTAGTATCACTGCATTCAGAAAAGAATCAAAAGACCACCTCAGGAATTGTGGCCTTTGCCACCTTTAGACAATATGAGCAAAACCAGCCCTTTCCCTTCTAGGGAGTCATAAAGAACAGGATTTATACATGGAGATGTCAGGCCATTCAGGAGCGGGGAGCCTGCTGCAATCCTCTGTTTAAAAAAAATCAAAAATTTTTACTTCCATCATTGTCCTTTTACATTTACAGCCATATTGCTCAGAAAATTGGTAACTTCTGTATTAGAAACTGCAGGGAAGATTGAGAATTCAGCCACACTAGTCACAACAGAAAGAGAGTGGAGAAAAGAAAGAATTCCATAAGCAGTAAACCCAGTTTGAGAATTGAAAGGCAAAAAAGATGTTGGCTGGGAATTGTCCTTCAACTGTGAACTAGGAATTTGCTATGGTCAGATGGAAGGTGGCTCACAGATCAAATGGGGGAGTTTCAGGGGTGGGGGTTACTATAGTCAGAAGTCACTGGTAGTTAGGCAGCATCTTTATTATAGCTCATTAGTTCTAGGTCTCATCAGTGGAGACTGGAGGAACATACTCATGTTTTCTAAGTACTGTGTTTCCCTGAAAATAAGACAGGGTCTTATATTAATTTTTGCTCCAAAAAACACATTAGGGTTTATTTTCATGGGATTTTTTATTTTTTTTCATGTACAACAATCTAAATTTATTCAAATATAGTCATGTCACCTTCTGGTTGCTGCACAATGGTGGAGGCCAGGGTTTCACTTAACTAGGGCTTATTTTTGGGGTAGGGCTTATATTACGAGCATTCTGAAAAATCATACTAGGGCATATTTTCAGGTTAGGTCTTATTTTTGGGGAAACAGAAGACTGCTTTTTTTCAAAAAAATATGGCCGTTTGGCTGATACCTTATTTACAGACTTTATCATGACTTAGCCAGAAGTGTGTGAAGCCAGAGACAAAGATGGATGGAAATATGGATCTCTACTTTATTTTTGCTCTGTACCTAACAATAAAAAAGAAGATATTTTCATTCCAGTTAAAGACACAATTCTCTGTATCACCTAAACACTGTAAATTAGATGAGACAAGTGCATCATTGTTAGGGCAGATTCTTGCATTAAAATCCTCCATTAATGTCACATAAGCTTTGGATTCTAAATCTATTATATAAAATTCCAACTGTCCCCGGTTTGTTTTACATAATTTGGAGGAGAGTGGGGGAATATAAACATTAATAAATAAAAAAAGACCTAGTTCTAAGCTTAAGTAAGCCAGCCACTGTAGTTCAATCGCATGGGACGTTGAGTGGAATGGATTTGTCACTGAAAAATATAAAACTGAAGCAGACCAAAAATACACCCCTGAATTCTAGGGTGTGATGGAAAGTGCTTAACAGTGAATAAAAACATTTCTTTATGTGTTATTTCCAATCCTGGTAACACCAGAACAAGAGAAATGTTAAAACTGAGCTATTACTGATCGTGTTCATTATTTCATTAGGCAATATTTCATTGTTGTCATATATATCTTCATAACAGACAGGGGGAGTTGATTTACTCATCTCTATCTGGTATCGGTGCCTGCCTTTCAGAGTTCTGGAACATAAAGTGCATAACCTTGAACAGTTAACTGTTCTCCAGAATTGCTGCACAGTCTGTTTCAGGCATTAGGATGGAAGCAGCAATATATTATCTTAGGTCACCCAGTAAAATGCAGCCCTTAACTACAGCTGATTAATTGCAAAACCTACCGTGGTTCCAGTAGCAGCAAGCTGCCAGCATAAATACACCTTAACTTTTGACTCTGTTGATTCAACAAACCAAACCATTAGAAAAATGCCACAGGTGAAAGACAGACCCTCTGAAACAATACAACAATTCACTTCTGCCTATTCCCATTTGGTTAAAAACACGGTGATATTAAATAATGTAGGCAATAGAAAAACCTTCTGAAGAGACATTAACAACAATAATTGCATGTTGTCAAGTTGATTCTAATTTATGAAAGAATATGTTTTATAATTCATATGGAATTTTTATTTTCTATTATATAGCTCCAGTATTCATGTGACACAGTTTTGCCAAAGTGTAAGTTGCTGCATATGTTCCTAAAAACTTCCTTAATCACTGATTCAGAAACATTATATATTAAGTGCAAGATATATTAGCATTTTTAAATCATGTGCTGTCAAGTCAGTTCTAGTTTAGGGTGACCCTTTTCAGGGTTTTATATGTAGGTAGAGAGCACTTGGAAGCAGTTTATCACTCCTTTCTTCTGGAGATATCCTGGAACTGTGCAGTTTGCCCAAGGCCACATAGGCTGGCTACCTATTGGTGGTAAAATTACAGTGAAGAAACAATTGTATTTTGTTAAAATCAGTGAAAATAGGTATAGACTTTACTCCCAGACAGACTACAGCATCATGTCCTGAATATATGACATTTCTTAACAATCTATTGTTTTATTGAGGAAGGGGGCTGTGTCTGAAATAACTGGCTCTGCTCCTCTTACTTTCACCTTCAGCTCCTGAGAATTTTGATCATTTGTCATGCCAGCTGGTGCTTCTGGTTCAAAAGGTCAGCAGAGGGTTGGGCAAGTTTAAGAACCACTACTTTAGATTGTAAGCATTGAATTTTTAATTATTAGGGCCTGTAAGATATTTTAAATCCACAAATTAGATGGTATGTTTGAGTAGCAGACAGTAGGTACAGTATGTACACTGTGTTCTCTTTGAATCAGAAAGATACAAATTCTCTTTTAAATGTAAGTTCCCACTTTTGCCATTTGTAGCTTTAAAAAAAAAAGAGGCATGTTTATCAAAGCCAGGAACTTATCACTGGCAAAATGCAGTTTCCTTCCAAAGGAAACGCCATGGGAGGTGCTTATATCCCGACTTAATACCAGAGCTATGAGATTCTTCACACCCTGGGGCAAAGCCAGGTTGCTGCATCCTAGTTAGGACAGAGAAGTCCACACAAACCACTCAGCAACGCTACTCACACTTTTCTGGCATGGGTGATTTCCAGGAGGGTCAAGT